GGCTATTTTTTGGTTGCAGCCGTCATTGTTGTTTGGCGGGTCCGGGCTGGGGATTTGAACCCGCCACCTTAGGTGTACGTGGCTGGCGCCCTAGCCCGTTGAGCTATAGGCGCCGAGCCTTAAGTTTGTTTTTATCAGAAGAATGTTCTTTGTATTTTAATTTTTAAAAATTTGTTGACGCTTTGTGATCCAAGGTGGTGTGATCTTTGATGTTTTATGTGTGATTGGAAAGGTTATGGAAAAGTGTTCTGCTGTTTCCTTTCTCTTCTCCTATTTATTGTGCTATTGTCATTTATTTCTTTATGTTTTGGAAATCCTGTAATAACTGTTGTTACTTTTTGCCTCATATAGTTATTTTTTTTATTAAGTCAAATGCACATAGATCTTATGCATATGTGGAGTACAATGTGCTGATTTTTTTTATACAATCTAACATGATTACATTTAACCAATCAACATAGCTTTCTTATATAGTTATTTGTAAAAAAATTTCAATGAGAAAATTCTTATATAATATTTACAATTTGGGCACTCTTACTCATGTGCAAATCACCTTTCTCCTTGGTATTATTTTCTTTCTACCCGCTAAAGCTCCTATTATCCTATCTTGTAGTACAGGTTTACTGATGATGAATTTTCTCTGCTTTTCTTTGCTTGAAAAAGACTATACTCACAATTTTCAAAAGATATTTTTGCTAGATACACAATCCTATGTTGATGTTTTTCCCCATTAAAGGCTACCTGTTGTGTTCTGACTTACATGGCTTCAGATGAGATGTCTAGGATAATTTTTTACTCTTTGTTTCTTAAAATATCAAATTGTCTCTTTTGTGTGTGGCTACTTTTAAGAATTTTCTCTTTAGGCTCGGCACCCGTGGCTCAAGTGGGTAAGGTGCCAGCCACATACACCTAAGGTGGCGGGTTCGAATCCAGCCTGGGCCCGCCAAAAAAAAAAAAAACAATGACGGCTGCAACCAAAAAACAGCCGGGAATTGTGGTGGGCACCTGTGGTCTCAGCTACTTGGGAGGCTGAGGCAGGAGATTTGCTTGAGCCCAGGAGTTGGAGGTTGCTGTGAGCTGTGATGCCACGGCACTCTACCCAGGGGGA